GGGCGTAGAACGGAAGAGAAGAACTAGCAATAAACTCTCCGCCACTCTTTTTAATCGCCATGTTTTTTTTACACAACGTTTGTAAGGAGCTGCAACCATTACACCATGTTCCACATGACATCTTAAGTAATTAATAATAATAACATAAATTAAAAACAAAGACTTGTCCTCTATCAGCAGGAGGCATGGTGAAATAGGAGCACGCACTTACATTCTCGTGGGAACAACACGCAAACACATAGTCGAAATAATTAACATCACCGCATACACGAATTCAAGTACGACCAGTCACCACAAGTAGCACCCGTTCACGAGTATGACGCATGGCCAGCCATCGGCCCCCTCGCCATATTTTAGGGAGAGAGACAATCCGACGCATGGACGCCGCCACAAGCAATGACATTTAAGCGAGCATGACGATCCTTGAAATGTGGACTTGGCTACATAAGAAAATAATAACAATACTGAAATAATTTGATACCACATGGATCACGGTTTGTTCCCACTTTACATTAATACAGTCGTGGATGTTGACGATCGCCCTGGAGTCTGGAAATGCAGCCGAGAGATTCAGTCGCGTTACCTATTTATACTGGAGCAACTTATATCCAAGCACTAGGATCGTTTAAATATTCATTTATATTATAATAGGCCTTAGCAAGCAGTTTTACTTTAATGTACGACTTAAATTTATTTATTGACAATACTTGTATATCACTAGGGATTTTATTGAAAAAAACGTATACAATTGCCTTGGAAAGAATGACTCGTTTTATGCAGCCTTCTGGTTGGTGCGCTAATTTTGTCTTTATTACGATTGTTACTGGCATGGATTATCCCTGTGATATAGCTCCATTTACATTTATTTACCTATTGAATTCTATCGCTCAGGTATGATTCCATAATTGACTCAATAAACAAGTTTTAAAGTTGTTTTAGTTCTCCTTAGTTTACGTGTTACATTTGTTAGCTTTTAATACATGTTCTTAAAAATCTTGCTACAAGTGCGCATGTGCAATAGTTACTCATTTGACTTGTTCGGTTGTTTACGAATTGTTACAAAATGACTCGAACAACTACCCGAAGTGGGATGGTCGGGTCGGAGTAGGGAAAAGATTATAAAAAAGGTTGTAACACATGCGCACTGGCAATTCCTTTGTTCAAGTTTGAAGTTATAGAGTATACGTAAAATCAGTGAATTGAAACAAGTCATTATTGGAGTGTACTATGATCTAGTACCCTAAGTACTAGATCAACTAGCCCTAAGTCAACGTGGTCAACGGACCAAGGATTCAACCATGTTGGGTATTGGACACATAGTCACACATTTCGGCTAATAATGATTTATGAAAGCAAAATGATTTCCTAAATTCTATAGTAGAGGAATATCTCGGGTATTTTAGGCCTTTTATTGGAATCATAAATAAAACGAGATTTTTTGAAGTATTTGTATGTGACATTCAACAGTGATCAAGAGACATCGTTATGCAACAAACAGATGGACCGATTAAGTGGAACGTCGTCCTCAAAACTGTACACTGTAACAAGAGAGGCGCGGGACGAGAAACAGATAGTTCGCTCCAGATGTTTCCTTGATGACAACGACGAGAAGACATGAGCTACTGACAGAAGAAAGAGAGATTGTTCGTGTAGTACTGTATTATTATAAACCCTGATATATTTTTGCATTAGGAAACATATACCATTCATTCTCATTGGTAAATATATAACATCAAGAACCTTTAGTACTAATATATAGGAAATTTAAGAATTTCTTTGCACGATCCTATATTTATTTTGCCTTAACATGATGCGTTATGTTATTAAGCTAACATTCTTTATAGGCCGTGAGATAGTGACACAAAATAGTGGATCATTTGTACCAGTATGGCGTACCAGTATCTTCAGGGGTCTTATTACTCAATGAAAAAAAGAAAAATGATGGTCATAGTGCTGGTACCGTCGGCCCCATCGCGTGGGCGTTAGTCGAACTCGTCGAATGTCGTATGACCCTCATTTTTCTTTTTTTCATTGCGTAATAAGACCCCTGATTCTGAAGAATGAAATAATCATTAATTTATCAAAAAATCCATAATAATGTTCATTTTATACGTCAGTCACGTCAAAAAATGGTCACAGATTAATCGAATCGTTACATAACATGTTCGTAAATAATGTCTTCGCCTGTTTAACCCTAAGACTGATTTTGAGTTTTTCATCGAAGTATAATAGTGCCCTGAATAGTTCGTAGGCTAACACATGGATGACGCTTCTAGTATTTAATTAATACGATTTTTAGATACATAATAGTACGGGAGGTAGCAACGTTTTCGAGAAAGAATTTTAGGTCAGCTGATTTTGTGATATGTCTTCCTTCTTGCACTTTCGGTTAGAGTCTGAGCAATCTGGCTGGCGGTAGCGGTTGCGTTCATTAGTGCGCATCCTATCTGTCCGGTAATAATCCTGGATTTTAAAAGCATTTTAAGAAGCGTAATTTTTAATTTTTCGTTTTTAAATAAGTCTACATGACATACTTTTTTTATTGCCAGACATTTTTCACATTGCTAACTATGTGCCAGACGCGATTTTAAGTTTTTTTTTAATAAAAATTTCAAAGTATTTTAGAATGTCTGTAATTTTAATATTATGTTCTTTAAATATAAGAAAAACTAAAAATGAATTTGCCAGACATTAATTCGGTTGTTAAGTCTTGAATTAAAATGAAAAAGTATTGCAGTATGATGAAGCGTTGCATTTTAAGAAGCGCAATTTTTAATTTTTCCTTTTTAAATAAGTCTACCTGACATACTTTTTTTATTGCCAGACATTTTTCACATTGCTAACTATGTGCCAGACGCGATTTTAAGTTTTTTTTTTATAAAAATTTCAAAGTATTTTAGAATGTCTGTAATTTTAATATTATGTTCTTTAAATATAAGAAAAACTAAAAATGAATTTGCCAGACATTAATTCGGTTGTTAAGTCTTGAATTAAAATGAAAAAGTATTGCAGTATGATGAAGCGTTGCATTTTAAGAAGCGCAATTTTTAATTTTTCCTTTTTTTAAATAAGTCTACCTGACATACTTTTTTTATTGCCAGACATTTTTCACATTGCTAACTATGTGCCAGACGCGATTTTAAGTTTTTTTTTTATAAAAATTTCAAAGTATTTTAGAATGTCTGTAATTTTAATATTATGTTCTTTAAATATAAGAAAAACTAAAAATGAATTTGCCAGACATTAATTCGGTTGTTAAGTCTTGAATTAAAATGAAAAAGTATTGCAGTATGATGAAGCGTTGCATTTTAAGAAGCGCAATTTTTAATTTTTCCTTTTTAAATAAGTCTACCTGACATACTTTTTTTATTGCCAGACATTTTTCACATTGCTAACTATGTGCCAGACGCAATTTTAAGTTTTTTTTTTATAAAAATTTCAAAGTATTTTAGAATGTCTGTAATTTTAATATTATGTTATTTAAATATAAGAAAAACTAAAAATGAATTTGCCAGACATTAATTCGGTTGTTAAGTCTTGAATTAAAATGAAAAAGTATTGCAGTATGATGAAGCGTTGCATTTTAAGAAGCGCAATTTTAAATTTTTCCTTTTTTAAATAAGTCTACCTGACATACTTTTTTTATTGCCAGACATTTTTCACATTGCTAACTATGTGCCAGACGCGATTTTAAGTTTTTTTTTTATAAAAATTTCAAAGTATTTTAGAATGTCTGCAATTTTAATATTATGTTATTTAAATATAAGAAAATATAAAAATGAATTTGCCAGCCATAAATTCGATTGTTAAGCCTTGAATTAAAATGAAAAAGTATTGCAGTATGATGAAGCATTGCATTTGAGGAAGCGTTATTTTTAATTACGCTTCTTAAAATGCTTTTAAAATCCAGGATATTACCTGGACAGATAGGATGCGCACTAAAGAACGCAACCGCTACCGCCAGCCAGATTGCCAAGACTCTAACCGAAAGTGCAAGAAGGAAGGCATATCACAAAATCAGCTGACCTAAAATTCTTTCTCGAAAACGTTGCTACCTCCCGTACTATAACCCTAACCTTCAAAAGACACAGTAACAGACACAGACACAGACAAGTGTATAAATTTGACAACTGTCGTACTATTACTTTGTGAGACAGTATTTTGAATGAAGGAACTTTTGTTTGTTTATAAAAATGGATAAAAAGGAAATTCGTATGTTAATAAAGCATTGAACTCAAGACCTGTCTTGATAAACGTTCCGTTATGTGTTTATAGTTTAACACAATCACAGAATTGTATTAAAAGAATTAAAACGTTAACGTTTGTTTACAAGCATGGTAAGTCACAAGGCCTAGTACGACGCCATCTTGTCTAGAGAATTTGGCTAATTCGCCAAAACAACAATTTGTTTATGCTCTATAGTCACTAATAAATTATCTATAAAATGTTTTGTCAAATAGTCTGTAACAATTTAGTGTTATCTTCTCTCTTCCGGCATGTCAAAAGATTAATATGACGGCTCAAATAATGACGTACAATATTTTACATTTAATGCAATTGCACCTTTTACTATGGAATAAACACTATTTACACGATAATTCAAAGTAGTATACATAACGTTATTTTTAACTCCAGCGGAGGAGATGTATAATGCGCATTCAGTAATAATAAATATATTTTTTCTTACAAAAGAAATTTGCTTTCAATATTAAATTATTTTCCAAAATACCCTTGCGCACCCTTGTGATTCCTGAATCAAACTGGTTATAATAGTCTAAGATCTGGCTGCAGGATTAGTGCGCTTATCGGTTATTTGCTAAAAACCAAATTTTTATGTTTATTTATAATTAGGAGAATGTATTGATTATCATTAAAAATTTAAGAAATTGGTTAATTAACCAACTAATGATATTAAAAGTACCTACACGTTTAAAATAATTTTACCGTCTCCAGCATACAGTGCTTAACAAATTCTACACAGCATATCAAAACAAAATTGTTCACATTGCCGTATATGTCAAAATGCGAATAAGCACTGTCTGAATATCACTGATTGTGGTAGACGAAAAAAGAAGATATTCTAAGAAGTTCTCGTTCGCAAGTAAACATATATTGGGTAGCAATATCATTAGTTTTCCAAGACGAAAACTATCTTTGCTTGAACAGTGTTTCTGTAGATGGGTCAGAGCTTGATCCTGAAGAAATTCGGCGTTAGGTATAGAGCAATCTGTAAATTAAGACTTGTTAAGATTGAGTGTTAACAAATTCTAAGTTGGTATAGCTAGTACATGTAGATAGATAAGTCGGTAATAAGTATATTATTCAACGAAATCTTGTTAATTGTATTTATATTATAAATATGTTATGTTGGTTTGTGTACGCTTCAAAAACTCAAAAAGTTCTGCACCGATTTTAGCGTGATATATAATCCGCATCAAGGATTGTTTTTATCTATTTTTTTTGTTTTTTTTTATTTTTTCATTATTTTTTTCCACAAGTATCGCAAAATTAAACTAATAAATGTTTTCTTTGATTTGTTTCTCATTTCCCAACCATTCAATCACAATGTGCCACAGCGAAGCACGGTAGGGAACAGCTAGCTGTATATAATCTTATTTAGCGCAACGATACTACCTGTAGGAAGGATGTAGAAAATACCTGCTCGAAAAAGAAGTGCCGATTTTAGACAATCGTAATCCAGCTTGTCAGGTCGGCTTCGCATTATTTTCTTTAACAAGAATGTTATCTTCTTGATTTCGTCTTTAATGTTTGACCTTTTTGCAAGTATTGTTGGTGATATGTGATCTAAAAACATAATATAGTGTTTTGTGAGCATAGTGCGAAATATGACTTAAATGCTTTCTTTTATTTTATTTATTCATTTATTTTATTTACTAACACTTCTTTGTATTACAATATAAAAATTGAACATAATTAAATGAAAAGGCCTTATCGCTTTCGAGCGATCTCTTCCAGGCAAACACTGTGAGAAAAGAAAAAAATATATATTAAATTAGATAAGGTAGGCAAGAAGTGCAAAAATACATTTTACATATAGTTATTAAGAATAAAAACTAAACAGGAACAAAAAACCAACTAAACTAATAAAGGATACATGAAAAATATATTTTAATGTAACAAAAGCGTAGAACATAATTTAATAAAATTTGTTTCATTATGTTTTTATCTTCAGACAAATTCACTATCAAAGTTTTAAGGGATTGACAAACTTAAGGGAGTCTCAATTTGCGCCACATATCGACTCTAAATCTCGTTCTGAATGTCCGTCTCCGTTTATCATCTAGTCACTTACCTTCATCAAAAGTGAAGGAATACTGAGCGGCTGTTAATATAAAAAGCTCTTTCCAATTAGACAGTAGAAGACATGTCTGCTCCTTGAAGGACATTTGTCGAAACGGGGATATACTATGGAGCCATTTGACAGTAGCAACTAAGAGCTCTGCTGCCGGTGCGTACATATCTTCCGTGTTTATATCGATCGAACAAATAGGTCCGTAGGTAGCGAAACTTTTTACAGTACTCTCTGCTTGTCTTACGGTTTTCTCGTCTGTGGTTAATTTTATATCTGTGTCCAAATTTTGATCGTTTTGTCCATTGTCTTGTCGTTCGAAATTTTGTGCGCTGCTTTGTTGATTTCCTCCTGTTAAAATTCTATCGTCAGTACTATACCGATGGATGCCAAAAATGTATTATAGTCTGATTTTTAATTTCGTAGAATTCTGACTGCTATTATTTTTTTATTAACCTTTGTGGCTGGGCACATTTTTCAATTTCAATACGAGTCTGAACATCTGAGTATATACTTACATTTTATTTGTTAGAGAATATAGTTATTTTATTAAGTTCGGTGCTCACAAATAGTAAATATTTAGATTTACCTTTTTTGTAGGTTAAACATAATACGTACCATTTATTTTTTAGTGCCCTCAATGGGTCTAATTAGTCCCTTTTTCGGTGGAGAGCTTTTTTAGTAACAACACTTATGAAATGTCAGAATTCTATGAAATGAAAATTCAGACTATAGGTCAAAGCATTTTTATTAAAAGCTTTAAATAGAGTACTCTTTGTCTCTATCTATCGAAATGTGTCGAAAAGAGACAAATGGGTTATAGCTAATTCACTGCAGTGAGGATGTATTTTTTATGAAAATATATAATATTTTTAGTGTATTTAAAATTTTAGAGGTATTTTAGAGGAAAATTGTAATTCATCCTCTTATATTTTTTATAAAATGAATGAATTACAATTTTCTTCAATTGGACAATTTACTTCTCGGATGGCATACAATAAGTTAAGTAATTTCAATATTGTTCAATTTTCATTAGCACACAGCACGTAAATCAATTAAAATTATTTTTACAATTAAATGCGTTTAATTAATATAATGTAAAGATAATAATTAATATGTTTAACACCTTGTTGTGTTCGACATATAACTAAATAAATTATGAAATTATTGCATAAGCTTAAAACAGAAATTCGCATCGGTATAGTAATCACAGTCGCAATTATTATATATTATCTTACTTGTAGTAATATGTCGTAATAAAATATAAACTATATAATATAATTGTTTAAGTGGCACGCCGCATACATAGTATAAGTTTGAAATTTTTGTATCAAATAATTTTACGACATATTAACAATTATATTACTAATTAAAATACACATATAAACAATGCCGGTTTTATAGGTCCCCAAATTATTTTCGAAATAAAATGGAAAAAAAAAATTCAGTCGAGTTTTCAAAATATAATTTACTCAGAAACCAAGAGATCTTGTGGAAGCCAAGAGAGTGTGCTGTTAGAATTTAGCGCAGTGTTGGCCTAGTGGCTTTAGCGTGCAACTCTCATTCTTGAGGTCGTAGGTTCGATCCCCGGCTATCACCAATGGACTTTTTATGTGCGCATTTAACATTCGCCCGAACAGTGAAAGAAAACATCGCGAGGAAACCGGCTGGCCTAAATTGACAAATTATCATGAAACAAATATAGAAATCTGAGGGCCACACCTGAAAAAGGTTGTAGCGCCACTGGTTTTTATATTTTTACTGTGGAAGCCCGGGCTGCATAATTAACTGTTGATGTAGGACAAATCTTTGTTTTTAATTTATTTTATTATCATTTATTACTTAAGATGTCATGTGGAACATGGTTGCAGCTCCTTACAAACGTTGTGTAAAACAAAAAACTTGGCGATTTAAAAGAGTGGCGGAGAGTTTATTGCCAGTTCTTATCTTTCGTTCTACGCCCTTGATTTGAGAACTGGCAGTAAATGTAAAATAAGATTTAATGTATATTTCTTTTTTTGACGTTCAAAAGTGTATTTTGTGTTACGTACATGAATAAATGATTTTTGACTTTTGATTTTTTTATAAATATCTTTAATTAGACAACAGGTCCGAAATGGGGCCGTGTACTTTGTTTTAATTAACACAATAAGAGTTCCTAGTTCCTTCGAATAAATATTCAAACGAAGAACATACCCGAAATAGGGTTTTCTTCTCTTCTTGCTTCCTCTGAACTTGACACTTCATCTTCTTTGATTTTTTCTGTCTTTAAATCAGTTTTATCAGGTCTGTGGTAAAATGTCCCCAGCGCTGTTCCTAAATTAATTAATGTATAAACAGAATTATAAAAAGGTTTTTTTTTAATATTTAACGAAATAAAAATATTGATGTTTATATACGAGAGTAATACTTAGCTTTTTTTATAAAAGGAGCAAACTGGCAGGAGGCTCATCTGATGTTAAGCGATACGACGACACTTTTGGAAAGGCAAGTGCGTTTCCGGCCTTTATAAGTCTCAACACTGAATGTTACCTTAATCACGTCGCTTGTCTTAGATTGGTAACGCGTCCGAAGTCTACGGACACGACCAGTCCTGTCGTTTTTCAATAATATACAACTCTTTGAATATATAAATACAGACAAAACATAAACAATTTATATTAATATATAAAAGTAACTAATTTTAAACGCCCATTAGGGCACCAGAAAGATGGCGGAATAAATATTTTTGTGTCCAATACTGCATTTATCGCGGAAGGTAATAATAATATCATGTTGTTACCCAAAGCACAGGGATACGCAAAATATTATTACTCCAAAGTTTTACATTTATTATTATACCGTAAAAATACTCACTCTGCATTGATTCCAAAGTGTGTAGACTTTCCGTCATAGCAGGAGGATAGAAAATATTGTTCGATAAGTATTCGGGATGTGGAATGGAGTAGTGGAAGGACCCTGGGAATATCGGTACCTTAAAAGGATGTACAGGTGTCAATGGAGGCGTGACATGTGAAGTTAGAGGCATATCCGAGAGTCCGTCAAGTTTCGAGAAATCTTGGAATGAACCTAGTAATTGCATTCGCTGTTCGGGTAATATGTAAGGGAAATGGGTGTAAGGTGAAACGAGAGGGGAATTCGAGAATGGTTGTCGCGAGAAACCGTAGCCGAGTTTTTGCAGTACCAGTTGCTGTTGATCGGTTATGGGCCTCGGGGCTCGTTCATGTTGGACAGCTGAAATGAAATGAAATGCTCCGTATCTTAATATCAAAAATGGTGTCCTGTGGTCAGTCTTGGGTGGACACTTTTGCGCTGTTTAGTTATCTGTTAGTGAAGAAAATTTTCAGCCTTTTCAGCCCGAAGCTATTATCAGCCAGGAGTCAGAACTCCGCCATACGACAAGGAGGCGGATACAAATAAAAATGTATTAGGAATTAATTACTTTTATTTTGTTTAAGCTATAGCAAACTAATTACATCAATGCTATTATTTGTACCATTTAACTCAACTATCACAGAACGTATTATAGTGGTAAGTAGGTACCTGACACACGCCGTCGACTTTTTAGCTCTAAGCCAACGCAGTTTCCACACGATGTTTTCTTTCACCGTTCAAGCGAAAATGTGTAAATAGAAAAAAGTCCATTGATGGCATAGCCATACCTAATGAAACCGAGTTCTTGAAGGACACTCGAGTTCACAACTCCCCCCAAGACGACGTGGTAGGCTAACTATACAGTATCTTTCTTTTGCAGTTAATCTCTACATCTAATATATAAAATTCTCGTGTAGCGATGTTTGTAGTAAACTCCTCCGAAGCGGCTTGACCGATTCTCATGAAAATTGTGTGCATATTGGGTATGTCTGAGAATTAGACAACATCTATTTTTTAAACCCCTAAAGTGATAAGGGGTGTCCCCAAAATGTTTTTTTATGATTTGGATAATTTTTTTAAATATACAACGTATAAAAATACATACAACCCCTAATTTGCACCCCTCTACGATCAAGGCCTATTTTTTATTTGTGAATTAAAATATTATGACTCTGAACTCTAAGGTTTATATATAGAGAAAAATTCACAGAAAAACCTAAAAAGTTTTCATTTCGGAAAATCGAATAGTCTTCAAAATGTTCCATGGTATGTACATAAAAGGCTAGGCTAGTTAAATTATATAAAAAGGTACGAATCAAGTGATAATTAGGTCTTCCAACTTTTTAATAAAAGAGATTTAATTTACACTATCCATGTCGCTTATTAGCTGCCAAGGTGTATTAACAACTTGACATTTGAACTTACTACTGACGTACAAATGTCAAAATGTATAGACATAGACTCTACTATTTATGGCAAGTTCCCTCTGAAAAACAGAACAGTTTCCCGCCTAATGGAATACCACTCAGGCGTCAGATGCAGCCATGTTTATTTTCTTGCCAATTGATTGTGACGCGCGAAATGCGAGCTTCTCTAAGATCGAAATACACGTTTAATTGTGTGATGTGAACAAATATTTATTTCATTTGTTTATTTTTATAGGGCAACACATAAAACAATATTTAAACGTTATCTATGATTTAAATAATGGCCGCGGACTCACCCCTTTATACGTAGACACTGAATCACTATAATTGCATTTTTTTTTAAATAGTACTATTTCTTACTATCATATTGCGTTTCAACTGTGATAAAGAGATGAGAGAGAGAGAGAAGAGACTTTAGTTAAAACGGTACAATTAGACTTATTAAGTTTTTATGAATAAGGGGGAAATGGTTAGGCATGAACAGAATGTAAAATCGGACAGCTACTACAATAGAAAATTATTTAGCATAAATCAAAAGCTCATTGGAAGGATTTAGAAGTAAACCGACGTACATCATGCAAATCCACGTTGCATATATGAAACACTGTCACACCAGCTTCTAAGACCTTCGGGGCGGTTATTTAGTATAAAGACTTCTCGAGAGTCATGCATTAAGGTTGTACCTAGGAACGGACCTGAACCTTCCCTACTCCACAATCGTTTTGGTCGAATACTTTAGAAGTTAGATGTATAGATAATAGTTCCGATGGTACAAATACAATAACATAATATTGTCCTATAGCTTAAGCAAAATATAATTATAAAAAATATTATTTGTAAACTGCCTCCTTGTCGTATGGCGCAAATGGCATAGAGCCCGGAGTTCCTGCAGGGCCTGATTAACCCTTAGGCTAATTAGGCTGCAGCCTAGGGCGCGAGGATCTAGGGGGGCGCGGGTGCGCTGAAATCTTGTCTTCGCTAGCATAATCCCCTGCATATTTCAACTAGACCGAAACGAAACACTAAATGAACTGTAAACTGGAAAAAATTCAAAGTAAAGAGACCAAAATAGAAACTTCAGAACGTTACTCTTTGTGAGATATAACATGCTTATCTTGATACGTTGCGTGACGAAGAAGTAAGAAGAAAGAAGAAATCAATTTTTTTTTCTAAGTAAAGTATATACTAAGTTAAAACAGGCCACATTGAGTTATAATGGAGGCGATCTTTCATCGTTGATAATTATTATGCAGCTATTCACTGTCTTAAAGTCCACTTTAAGACAGTAAGTAAGTAGAGTTTAGGTCAGCTAAAAAATGGTTTCAAGGTGTGCAAATTAAAGGACAGCGTCAGTTTAGCTGGCAGATCGATCTGAAATCTTTTATATATAGTATGAACCATGTTAAAATGTTCACACTAGAAAACAGAGTCAAAACTACTTTTTAGACGGACGTAACACATCTGTCACCTGGCGGGGGCGCATCTTGACAAATAGCCTAGAGCGGTCAAAACTCTTGATCAGTCTCTGAGTTCCTGGTAGTAAGCGCTTCGGGCTGAAAATTTTCTTGACTTGAAGAAATAAGGATACAGCGCGAAAATGTGTATACCTAAGATCGATTATGAAGGCGCAGGACTTCATATTGATATTTAGACATTGCACGAAATATATACATCGATATATTATATTTAAGAAATCCTGTCTCAAGAATCAATTTCGAATCACCACCATCACAAAATTGAAGTCCTCGAACGGCCCAACGAGATTATGAGCACGATTTCCCTATAAACCACTAGATGTGTATAAAAGTTGTATATAAAAAGTGTTGTCATAAAGTCGAAGATCGGCGGAACGATGTATGATTTACAAAATAAAGAATACAGCTTTAAGAAAAACAACTAATAAGGTAGAAGATGTTACAATAAAAATAAATAAACTAAAGTGGAAATGGACGGGGCAAGAGAAACAGAAAATTGGAGCAAAAAGTACTAAACTGTGTCCAAGGTATTGGGAACGAAAAAGAGGAAGACAACTTAGAAGGTGGTTAGACCAAATTAAAGAAACAGCAGGTGGTACATGGCAGAGAGTCAAAAAAGGGCACACAGATATCTAAAAGAAAACTGAAATAGAAAAATGTGTAAAAGTATAAGTATCAGAATTAAAAGGCTATTATTAAACAAATGTAAAAAGGTATAGTTTTCACACAGTTAAAAGCGAAGAAAATGTAAATAGAATAAATATATTATGTCATTTTTCTAGTACCGGCGTGTGAACTACAGGCTGGCGCTGATAGTAGGGTAAACGCCCCTGATTTTTTCTCGCCTTGTGTACCGCAAATACTTGAGCATCTAATGGAAAAGACATGCTCAGGAACCCTGAATAAATACTTTATTACAACAAGTGCTCGGTCGTGTACATTCAATTTCTGCGTGATTTTATTTAGCGATCATTACACCTAAATGGAGAGTGGGAGTGTGAACATAGGCGTCTCTGATACTGCGATCAAACAATATCATTTATAATTAGGGTAGTTTCGGTAATTATATAAAACAAGCAACCATAGAAAGAATTGTGACTGAACATTGGCCAAAGGAGGAAGACAAATAAAATGATAGGAAGATGATGTGCGAAGAGCAGCTGGTCCTATGTGGATACGTAAAGCTGTTTAAGCTCTTAGAGGAGGCCTATGTCCAAGTAAGTTAACTCATTGCCGATTAATTATTAGTGTTATTTTTTTTATTTTTAGTGTTAATTTATTAGTACTTCACATTTTTATGTTCTAGTATAAGTAATAACAGCAATAAAAGCTTTTATTATTAATAATGAAAACTGGCTGCGAAAATCTTATAGAAAATTTAAATCTTCAGGAAAATATATAATAATATCTTGACTCAGTATTAACCTTAATATCTTAACTTATCAATAGCAACATAATGTGTCAACATGCTTACCATCTTTCTTCATATTCACGCGGAGACATTTTGAGAAGCGACACGCTTGGCATTGATTTCTTCGATTGACGTCCACCACGCATTGGCCGTTTTCTTTGCAAACGTAGTCTAAATTTCTACAACGACGATGAATTCCTTTCATTAATAGAATCAGGTCGCTTGCTAATATAATGCAATCCAAAGCTAAATCTCATATATCACAAACTCTACAATCACAATTAAAATAGGCTTAGCCGTTTCGTTACTGCAATAACTATTTTATTGGGGTGGTCTTGGAAACGTTTTACATTGAAAATTCCTTAAAAAAAATTAAACCTAAAAAGTACCTTGTATTATCAAGAATGTAATAATTTTGGTGGCATTATTTTTTCTTCTTAAAAGATATTGTAATGGCGCGAGCCGCTTCTTACGCTACGGACTTGGCTAGGGAAACGCTACGCCGTACTTAAACTTTCTATATAAACATCTCTCAAAAATAATGTTAAAATACAAAGTAGGTAACTACTTCTAAAGTGCAAATTCAATTTCCAAAATACTATCTACAAATCACATTATGTCTTGGCCTTGACATCTTTAATGATTCACTTGTTCAGACTAAGGCAGATCCAGTTGAATTATATGAAATATTTACAACGGACGTGAAACTAAAATAATGTTATATAATTGTTTTACAATTTCTGTAGTATTAAAAAATACTTTAATTCATCAATATCAAAATTCAATAATCCTTCTCACCAACTACTGGATATTTCCGTCCACTCATTTTAAAATCCTGTTTTTATATCGAACTTAACTTATAGGAGAAGAATTAGATGTAAGTTAATTAAGTACGTAAAAATTATATTTTAGTATTACGATCTCACATCGTAGTATCTTTTGTGGCACAAATTAGAAAGCTTTTAATAAAATTCATTTCATTATTAGTATTCCTTCAGATAATTTAAATAATAATATCCATGTTATACGTATTAAACCCAGAAAACAAATTTAAAAACAGAGGAAAAAAGAATGTAAAGAAAACATTACAAAATCTTTCACCGTAGGTATACGCATATCAATAACCATTCTAACAAAAGATGCCACAGATGCATTTGGAAAATATAATGTGCTAAATAAATATAAGTCAAATCTGCAGTTATTTTTGAACTTCACTCACCGTCGTATGCTTCGTTTGAAGAACCCTCTGCAGCCATCACAGGAAGGAACGCCGTAGTGTTTGCCTGAAGCCTTATCTCCACAAACACGGCAAAATATCTCTGGTTTTGACTCCATTGCCAGCTATAAAATATTGATTTTGAATCCTCCTTGTGTATAAGAGTGGTCCTATTTATTTTAATTTTTTGTGTCCGATGGTCACCCTTCATTCAATCCATAACATTATTTTTAAATTGGCGTTCATAAGTGTAAAGTTCTAATAAAATATTTTAATATGATAATGGAAACTTGATACTTGAACTTGATACTTAAAACTGAATTTTATTAAATCGGTCAATAACGTGTGATTTGAGGTTACTAATATTATTTTTGATCACGGCTAAAAAAACGGCTTATTACAGGTTACTACAATAGTATTTATTAGGTAATGCTGCCAATATTTAAGGTACACTGCCACGGGGACCATTTTAAATTTGTTTTAATTTTCTATTTATTTATTATTATTACTATGTAGGTTAAGAATATTATAAATACTGGGCATTTAAGTGTTGGAAATAAATTGATTATAATATTCATTTTATATATATACATATTTATCATTATATTAATCGTCAAAATATTAAAGAATAATTCAACATAATTTGTATATTACCGTAGAGTATTGAAAATGCGTAAACTTTTTCAACAATGGTTCAATCAATTTGCAATAACTTTGAAAGGAATTTGTTGCGTCATCTCGAAAGAATATTAGTAATCAATTGATAAAATTCAAATAAGGGATGTCATAATGTCACCTTCGAAGGGGTTTGGATGAGTTTTTGATAGATTTTGTTACCGCATCGTTGGCATCGACAGCTGCGGTTTTAAAATATCATTTGCCGCTACATTACCTTAGTATATAAAGTAGAAAATGTTCGCCTAACTTCATGAGATTATAAAGTACATGTATCTATCAACTTGGACTAGGGTCTGAGATGGTGGAGATTATGACTGACAACCTTAATAAAACAATCCATCGGATTATCAACCGGGTCAGGTCCAGCCTCAACTAACACAGACCCTGTTCCGTCAGGAAATATCGACTTTACGTGTTTTAAAGCGAGCTAGAACTAGTATTTGAAACGGTCATAATGTAATGTTTATTTTGGTTTAATATATTAAGAACTAGTTTATGTAATATTTGTTTTATTCTCTTGTGTTCTCGTGTAGTCTTTCGTAGTTTGTTGGGGAATGACAATAATTGCTGATAGGTGCAAAGATATAATGTAATAAATTTGCATTATAATGAAGAAGTTATACAAAGATTTGTCACGAGTCAACAACCCTACCACGATGTTCAGACAGGTTGCTTTTCGCCTACATTATAACAATACCATATTCATGGATATTAAACCGCCACTATGATCGACAGTAAAAATTAATAGAACCCAGAAATTTAATGGTTTTTTACATATACAAAAATGCTCAGGCTAGTCATATTAGTATATAATAAAATATATGGTCAAAAGCTATACTTTTGTAACAGTTATTTAGATTCATACAAAAACCAAAACAGCTCAATCAGGCCATATTTTCGGTGTATTAACTGTCATGTAAGTGCTCATAATTTGACCTCATGTCAAATTTGTGGGGACGACAAATTAAAATCAACTTTATAGGTTTGTAATACAGTCTGTTATTGAATGTGGTGGGAAGTAAATTATGAACAAGTGCTACATTTCCCACGCGGCTCGTGCCGGGTTTGACTTTATTGTTAAATTATGACTGAAGATGATGACGGAATATTGATAACCATATTGGGCCCTCGGTTCTTTGTTTATAGCATTACGTTAAAGAAAATAAATATACAGTCAAACCTGGGTAAGTGAGAACTGGATAAGTGAGAAATCTCTATAAGTGAGAGTAATAGCCGGGACCCGTCATTTTAAGCTCCCAAAACCTCTATTAGCGAGAAACAGAAACTTCTGTAAGAGAGAGTAGTTTTTCCCTCATGGACTTCCGTAAGTGAGACTGCCACTTATCTATACCTCTATAAGCATCAGTCGAGCTTGTACTTTGAATACGCGGCGGTTGTTGATCAAGAAATAATCGACAAAATTTATGAGTTAGAGAAAAACATTCAAAATACAAAAACAGAAACTCAAACGAAATTGACGGATTTTTTAAGTGTTAATAAGTTCTAAATAAAATAAAATATATGTGTACATAATATATGTTGTGCACAATATGCACATAATTTTATCATATTATTACATATTTACTACATTCGTACCTTTTAAGAGAGAAACGCTACCCATGTACCGGCATTAGCGGGAAACTCGGATTATAGAGGTTTCTATAAGCGAGAATGAGATTCTGCTCCCTTGAACTCTCGCTCATCCAGGTTTGAATGTATATGAAACTATTTATTTACAATGAGCAGTGTTGGCCTAGTGGCTTCAGCGTGCGACTCTCATCCCTGAGGTCGTAGGCTCGATCCCCGGTTGTGCACCAATGGACTTTCTTTCTATGTGCAAAGTTGCAGGAAAGTCTCTTATAATTGAGCCGTTTATTATTTTCCGTCTGCTCTGCGGCCGCCCCAGCATTTTTGTTTATCCGAGGAAGGTGAGACGGTTGTGTCCACACAAGTAGTATCCCATATCAAAGCCCATCCCATACTCCAAGAGATCAAAGACATCCAGCCGCTTCCATCGTCTCTAGCGAATAATTTTTTTTTTTAGTTATCGTCTCTCTCTCTCTCTCTCTTCAGTCTGATTTCTGAGTGTTGGGGTCAGCAAGGAAGCATCTGGAGCGGACTATCTTATTCCACCAGTTTTTATCCAGCGCCTCTAAGTTACAGTGTACAGGTTTGAGGATGATGAGTCTTTACTTGATCCGTCCACCTAGTTGGTGAACGGTCACATTATCTTTGGCCTCTTGTGGTACCATCCACGATCAGTTTCTCCAAGTTCTCATCGCCTCTCCGCATTTTGTTTATATATTAAATGATTTAGGTTAATAATCAAGCATTTAAAGAACTCAGTGCTAAATGAAGAGATCTTTTTAAATAATTTAGATACATTTATACTATACTTAAAATTGATTTTTCGTTTCAAGAGAAAAGCCGAATAAGCACCAATGCATATCTTTTATCGGGAACCAAATTAAATCCTCCGAGTCCACATTAATTTAAAAGTGGTTAGGCACAGGAGTCACGTGTACATGATCATTAAACCTGCTTTATAAGTGCAAACAATTTAACATAATACAGAACTTTGGGTCGCACGTGCTGAACAAATAACGGGGAAACATTTTGTGTAGGGTTGGCTAATATTTTAGAATTTTTAACTGTTCGATATTATATCCTAAGATTCACTTAACTACGATGTGTAGTAGTTAAATATTGGTACCTACATTCTAGGGCTACAATCACTGCGTGATACCCTAAAAATATACAACTTCTGGACCTTAGCCACTGGGCATAGGGGTTGGCAGAACTGTTCAACCTTACTCCAGAAATATACCGGAATTACATCCGATACGAATAATACATCAATGTTGGGTGTATAAGTATTTCCATAAATAATGAAAATTCTTATACAGTATTGTATCTATAAATGTGCGCTATCATGAGCGCTTTGTATAAATTAAAAAAATAAAATAGTATTTATCTAATTATTTAGAATTTATATTACTTTATTAATATATTAAAAATAAATAAATAACAGAAAAACAGTAAAATATATTATTAAAAGCAAGGTTCCGAAGATACTATAATAAAATTTTATAATGAGATAATTTATATTATATTGCATATTAAGATTTTTGTATTATATATTTGTGTGTTGATAATAAATATTCATAAATAATACTGTAAACATGTGTAGCATTGACACGTGACAACCCTATTCACGTATGATGACAATGTTTTTGATTTAAATCAATTAGGGTTGATCTGACACCATACCATTAAAATTCATTATTAAAATGCATTATAATATAAACATGTCTACTATATTTGTATTTGGCTAGCTTAGTTCACCACAGCATCTGTTTGATTCTCGCCGAAGTCATTTCAGTTTAGTAAGCACAGATAACCGAACTTTTTAAAACAGAACTGGACTTACGAAATGGCCAAGTTCGGTCTGGAGCTCGAGACTGGCATGAGGATATTCCGGGATGGGCTTTTCGACATGTCGCTCGAGCACAGATGGAAAATTCTGTCACTGAATTGATCTCGTGCCTGATAGTCTTTTATCCTATTTGAAGAACTACTATGACACGCAGTTCAGGACATAACCCAATTCTACCAAGGTTTAAACGCACCTAATTGTGAACGGCTTACAAAAGTAGTCCAAGTTATAATCGATCCATTATGTCAGTGAAATGTCAAATGACCACATGTTTTGACATCGTGACTAGCGTGACTCGAGCACAATTATACCGTATGGCGAAGAAACGGCGATTATATATAAATGATAAATGATGTGTGATTGCTGTTATGAACCTCCAAATACTTTAATTATTGGCTATGACCTGACTTCGAAAACAATACAAAATGCACTAAAAATAATACAAATACAAAATCATATAACACTCTTCTGACATTGACGTCATATAATATATTAAAATTAATCGCTAAGTCGAGTCGAGTTTAAAACTCCAGAATGGCTGAACTGATTTCGCTTATTTTGATATTTGATGGAAGTTATGGGAAGGTTTAAACGGAAAGAATTAAATGTACAATTAACTTTAGACTAAAGATTTAAGTTGGAGCCTGGTAGTTAGTACCGGTGGTGGCTGGTGCTTTCCTCGAATAAGTATCGCAATACAGCGAGAAAATGCTGCCAGCGTTAAAGGTAAACTGCCGAAGGGACAGCAGACTATCAGGCACGAGAAGAAGCTTTTTAATTTGTTTTAATTGTCTTTTTATTATTATTATATACGTTAAGAAAATTGTAAATAGGTACTGTATATTTGACTATGTTTAGGGTTTATAAAATAATTAAACTTTCTGATATAGCAGCTTTTCAAATAACTAAGGTTTGACAACATTTTACAGAAAATAAGTCTGGTCATCTAGTTTTAAATAATTATCTCTTTCTTTTGATAAATTATTTGTTAAACATTTGATTAAA